AACCAACCCCAAAACATCCTTGGGGTAATTCCGTGCCTTTGCTCCTAATTGATGGAGCGGCTCTGGAAATGGCAGCGGGCACCTGCCGCTGAGCCGCCGGTTCATAAGTCCCAATAATTCAGCCCGCCGCCTGGAATTTGCCTTTCATATCCCTCGGCTAAGCCCCGGCGGGGCTGCCGAAATTATGAAATTATTTCCCCCCCCTCTCCGCTCTCCGCTCCAGCCTCGATGAATCTTGCATTAAACCGGGATCAGGACAGATTAAACTATAATATGCTGCGGTATTAGCGGCTGCAAATGAAGACTTAGCCAAGGGGTTTAACCCCTTCGCCTGACTCCAGCTCGGAAAATACCGGCGGGAAGTGATTCATAATCATCTTTGGACCATCTTTTGGAGATAAAATGGTGGAGCAAATCCCATTGTGCTGGGATAACTGGGGTGCTGTGGGAGACCATCCCTGGAACAGCATTTTGCATTTCTCCCCTGAAAGACTCCATAAATACTTTCTTTTTTTTTCTTCAATTTGCACAGCTGGAGAGGCTCATCGAGGGTTGCGCTAACTCATGGTCTTCATCCCCTTCTTCTCCACGTGCTTTGGTGCTGTATGTATTTTTGCATTTCGTACCGGATCGATTTAGGCATCGTCATTAGAGCAGATTGTGGATTTGCAAGAATTGCAAGCCTGTTTTCTAATCATTAGAGCGAACCGTGGATTTGCAAGAATTGCAAATCTTTGTTTTCTAAAAATCATCTTGTGGTAAGAAAGAAGTGGGATTTGACCCGTCTTCATGGACGGACATGGATGTGCTTGACAGAGGTGCAAAGAGACCTCCTGGTGGAGGAGCAACCCATGGCAAGGTTGGTCCATAAGGATGCTGCAGGCACGTAGAAATATCAGCTCATCCCCATCTGGTGTCTCCAACCAAGAGAGACATTTTGGGGTAAAATACTACCATCGATGAATGGGTGCTGATGTTGATCCCCAAAATGCAAAGCCACAAGGACAGCCGATGACTCCAAGACAACCACCCCAAAGCCAAACCTTTTTGCCCATGGCAAAACATTTTGGAAATGCCAGCTTTAGTGCAATGATGGAAAGCACCAAGACGTTGGGAGAGGTCATTTCCTGGTGGAGAAGATGGTGAATTTTGCAATTTTTAAGCTTTTTTTTGTTGTTCGAAAAGGTCTAGAGGGAGCACTTCCAGCATTGGCTTGGGAGTGAGGTTTGCATCACCAGGCTCTTGCAAGCTGGGAGGGAATGGATGTGTGGGGTAAAAATGGACATGGGACCTGAAACAGTGGGTGTTACGGGGGGGTCTCCTTTGTCCTCTGCAGGCACCCGCTGTTCCCGCTGCTGACTCTGCTCTTTGAGAAGTGCGAGCAGGCGACGCAGGGTTCCGAGTGCATCACCTCAGCCAGCTTCGACGTTGACATCGAGAACTTCGTCCACCAGCAGGAGCAGGAGCACAAGCCCTTCTTCAGCGATGACCCCGAGCTGGACAACCTGGTAGAGGCGTCCGGGGCTTGACAGATGGTTTTTGGGGGGTGGGGAGACAGTAGGGGATGAGGAACGGATTATGGAGACCTACCACCTTGGGCAACGTCTTGGGGCTCAGTTTGTAGTCTGTGGCAATGTTCTCCACAGACCTTGTGAGACCTTCTCCAGGACCTTCTCGGAGACCTTTTCCATAAGATTGCCTGTAGGAACAAACCCCTGTCCAATTTTTGGCTAGTTTTCCCACACAAACGCCATGGGGTCAACGCATTTCCTGGGAACAGCCAAGACTGGTGGTTGTTTTGTGCCCCAAAACTTGCAATCTCTGCAGGAATTACTGCTCTTCGGTGCAACGTGCAATAGCATCTGCGTTCTTGTCTGCCACCATCTTGTTTCAAGTGTGATGGCCGGCTCTTGTCCTAGAAACAAGGCAAAATAAGAGCTTTTTCCAAAAAGGGTGATGCATATCAATGGTTTGGGACACTTTGGGCTGTTTTTGGTGGCTTCCCTGTCATAGCAACCCAAATTTCCTACCATATCCATTGCTGCTGGAAGGTGCCTCAGAAGACTCTGCTTGGGGTGGAGCTTTTCTCTTGCAGGGACCTCAGGAAACATCCTCAAATCCCAGTATTTTGTCCAGGAAGCCTCCACATGGGGTCTCCATGGCAAGCGTGTGGGTGGACAGGTCCCTGGCACCATCCTGGTGCACCCTCCCAGCGCTCCGCAAGCAGATTTTTAAAGTCAAAAGAGGCAATTTCACCCACTTCTGACGATGCAAAGAGGAAAACAGCTTCCCCGAGGGATGGAGTGTCCTCTGGGATGTGTCGCAGGGGGATTTTCATCCCAGAAAAGAAGCAAAATCGGGCAATTCACAGGCAGCTTTTTCCAAATATTGGAGATATCAAGGAGGTGAGTTTGTCCAACAACCTGTCACGAAGGGAAGAAAAAGGAGCAATGCTCGTCCAAGTGCAAACACTACTGCTTTCCTAAAAACGCAAGAAACAGTTTCAAGATGGATTAAAGTCCCGCATCTTTTACACCCGATTTCAGCTCATGGAGGAGAGTTTTGCGACATCCCTAAATCACAAGTGGCTTAGGAGTCTGTGGAAAGCCCTCCAAAAAAATTACAGGCCATGCAAAGCCCTGTTTGCAGATTACTAAACCCATTTTGCAATGTCTTATAGCCAAGAACAGAAATTGCTCTGGGACGAGCAACCAAAAAAAGCAATATGTTTTGGATTATTTCAGTTTTGGGACTGAACATACATCAAATGTTGAGGTGCACCAAAAAACCCCCCATCACATTAAATTACGTAAAAATGGGTGCAATGATCTAGCAAGAGGAGAGAGATGAAGCCAGCTGAAACTAAAAAAAAAAAAAAATCTAAAATTTTGGGGCAGGAAAACCTATTCCTACATGTGTCAAGGTGAAACATCTCCAGCAAATGGTCAGTGCAGGAGATGCGTCCACAGAGGCCATTTTCACTGTTTTTTTTGGTGGTTTCTGAAAAAACCCCACACTCATCACATTTTTTGGGCATGTTTTGGAGCAACTCTTTCTGCTGAGGTGGAATTTGGCCATCGGCAGTTGCATTGATCCCATGTATGATCTTGCAGCACTGGATATATTCATATTCATATATATATATGTACTTTTGCCCTATTTTTAGGACATACCTGTATGTATATATTCTACCCAATGCCCAGAACTTCTCCAAAAGCCATCCAGGTTGCTCAAGTGTGGTTGGCCTCCATCAAGAGAGAAGAGATGGTTAATGTGATGCTGAAGAAGGACCGTTCCTGTTGGTGGGAGGTGCCAACTGGAGGGAATTTCGGTTGAAGAAGTCTTGCGGTGCTCAAAACTCAACATTTCCACCTGTTCCTGAGCTGACACTTCTTCCCTTTTTGCATTGTCCTTTTTTATTGGTTATTTTTTGGTTTGGTGGTTTGTTTTTTTTTAACGCCACCGATTCCCCAGAAATCAGTGATGGCAAAGCAGGGATGAAAAGGCCAGCAGCATTAGCTATCATTAGAATAAGAGTCATGTATTCCTCACCGCCGAGATGCACATAATTAGAAATTAGAAAAAGGTCAGATCTCACCATTATCAACTCAATCAGCTGCCGAGTGCCACACAGTCAATTAATTCAGCATCTGTATTTTTTACAACCCCGCGCACGTACGCCGTTGGACTGTAACTCTTTATCCGGACAGATATACGGCGCAGCGGAGCAGGGACATAAAATGAGACCCTAAGCAAATGAGCTGAGATAATTGAGAGATTTATTTTTTATACATATATGTGTCAGGTCTTCTTGCCTTTGCCCTTGAATATTGACTTTCATGGCCATTGAGCCCTGGGAGGATGTGGAGAGCCAGGACGCGACACCTCCACCTTGCACTTTGCCTACACCAACTGCAGAGGAGGAAAAAAAAACACCCCAAAAAAGCCAAAAAAGCAAAAAAAGATAATTTTTCCAGCCACAACCCATCATCATTGTTGTTTGCCAAACAAAAATTCGCTTTCTCCATCGTTGAGCCGCCACCTGAGTTTGGCCCTGGATTTTTCGGGATGTTTCCCAACCATGGTGACTCGCAGTTTGTAAAGATGACCACTAAAATTTGCAAGTTAAAAACACCCTTTGAAATGCAAAGACGCTTTGTTACATAAAACTGGATTTATTGCCCCGGAGTGAATAGCTGAAATTTTATATATTATGCAAGATTTCAAACAGCGGCTGTAAAACTTAAGGTTTCAGCTTGGCGAGAGGAATGTTTTATGTGTAAAATTTTTAATGTTTATGGGGTACGTTTTAATGAGGCCCAGGCTTTGCACCGGTAACAGCTTATGGCAGAGTTGCAGCCCCATAATCTTGTTAGAAGAAGTGGCCTCCAGAGAATAACCAAACACTTTTCGACAACCAGGGCTTTGGCTTGGACTTTTTTGGGGCACAGGGAGCAATTCCCATGAAGGCAACGGTAATTTTGGTGAATTTTGGCTTCTTGGGCTTTCAGAGATATGATTGATGGGGAGAGAAAAGAAGTGTGGAGGTGCAGAGGGATGGGGTCTGGGATGGGTTTTGGGCAAGAATATTGAATTTTTGGCTTTTTTTGGTGTGTTGAGAAAGGAAAATGCGTTTAATTCTACTGTAGGGATCGGTTCCAGGTTAGATTTTGGGTGAGAATGTTGTTTTTTTGGGTTTTTTTTCCGATGTGTTGAGGAAAAAAATGAGTTTAACTCTGCCATTGTGTCCTTGCATAGATGGTGAAGGCGATCCAGGTGCTGCGCATCCACCTCCTGGAGCTGGAGAAGGTCAACGAGTTGTGCAAGGACTTTTGCAACCGCTACATCACCTGCCTCAAAACCAAGATGCACAGCGACAACCTACTCAGGAACGACCTGGGGGGGCCCTACTCCCCCAACCCCTCCTCCATCAGCCTCCACCCCCAGGTAACGCCTTAAAAATCGCCTGTAATCATCATCATTGCACGTTGGCCAATGGGCATGTTGGGCCAATGACGTTGGGGGGTTGCTCTACAGCTCTTGTGGCCTCCTGGAAGTTCATCAAAACCCATCCCCAACTGAGGAAAAGAATTAAAAATAACCCATATCTTGCTCATATGGTGCAATAAATGATGCTGCGATGATTTTTTTTTCTTTTTTTAAATGTTTTTTCCATGGCCTTTCTTTTCATGGGTTTGGCAGAGCTGCAACCCCAATGTTTGTGTCTCAGCAAAAGGGAGGGATGAGGGCTTCTCCTAAACTCTTATGTTGCAGCAGTGAAATGGGGGGGAAGGAATTGCAGAAGCCGTGCAAGCACATGGCCAAATGGACAAGAAATTTGCATTTTTTCATGAAAAAAATACTATTTGTTGGCGGGAGGGACAGAAACACCATGATTTTCTCTACCACTTCCTCCTCTCCCTGTTCTTGTCTTTGTTTCACGGCAGCTGAACAGATTTTTGGGTCTCAGATAACCCTTTATGGCTTCGCTGCTCCTTTTTTGCCCTGGTACCTCTTGCAGTTCTCCCCCAGCATGATCAACGTTCCCACCTTGACTTCTTTTTCTGTGTAATTTGGGTTTTAGCTGGGAGAAGGAAACATTTGGTGCCTCAAGCACAATGGGAAAGTACAAGGAGATGCCCAAGAATTGCAGAAACATCAATTGAAATGGCCAAACCAAAGCTGCACCTTGGTGGCTTTTGGGGCAAAATAAGGGATTTTAACTTAATATTTGGAAAAAAAGTTGCCCATGGGTTGGGGTTTTCATGTGCATTTGCAGTGCAGGGAATAAATGTTGGCTGGTTGCATCCCAGAAAACTTCCTTGATGCAACGTTGTATGTCCCTTACGGATTTCCCTCTCTCAGATACTGGATTTTTTTTGGGGAGAATGAAATTTGGGGTTGCACAATCCCACCAGAAATAACTGCAGCCAACTCAAAATAAGCCAGGGTGTCCCCAGGCAGCTCTTGGAGCTATCGCCCTAAAGGAGGCAGGTGGTGGTGGCTTTTTTAGGGCTTTTCAGGGCATTTTTAGGGTGGTGGAAAGGAAAAAAATGTGATTTTAGCAGCTCAGCTCCAAGTGCTGCAGAGTTGGAAGCTTCCAACATGACGCTTGTGGCCACTTTCTTCCCTCAGTGTGGGGAGGGAAAAGCCCCCCCCAAAAGTTTTATTTCTTATTTGGGTTTCCTGAAAGCACCAAACCACTTAATCATTGATCTAAAAAAACCCGGCCTCTCTCTATTTTCTAATAATCTCTAGAAATGGACTTATTATCCCTTCGCTGCTTTATGGTAGCATTCCTTATGATCAAAATTAGCAAGACACTTGCATAAAAGAGAACAATAATTGCTCAACGAGCATCTCGTTTGTAATTTATTAGTTTCTATTATTGTGCGTCGCCATGGCAACAGCTCGCATCCCGGTGATGAGAGAGATGTTAGATATGAGCCGACGAAGCTCCCGGTCCCAGCAAATGGAGATGCACGTTTTTTATCAGTAATTTTCATGAAAATAATAAGTGAGGGAGTTAATGAGATGGAAAGCCGTCCTGTGGCTATTGTGTTTTTTTTTTTTCCCTTTTCCCTTTTTTTTTTTTTTAAAGTGTTGATCTAATTAGAATGCATCGGTCAGGAAAAGTAATGAGGATTTAGTGCTTCACAAAGAGGTGGGGATTGTATCAGAAAATTAGCACAAGTCTTTAGAAAATAATCAGGCCCATGGAGAGGTACCAAGCGCCTCCGATTCCTGCAAACCCGGAGCTGCTGATGTTTCCCTTCCGGGCAAGACTCTCAAGTTGAGAAATTCAAGTGCGGATTTGGAGGCAGCTGCTAAATAAATGGGAACACACCCAGGAAAGACCCAACTGGAGGGGAAACGCTGGCACAGCGACGAAGGGATTTTTCAGCAGGCAACGGGAGCCAAAATATTCACAGTGATAGACCGGAAGGAGCCACCATCTCAGCTGGCCCTTGGATGAGGATGACGATACAACGGCAAATTTTTTCTAGTTATCCAGCTAAGCAATGTCAAGTGCCTGAGTGCTTTGACTCATTGAGTATATTTGAATTTGCATAGGTAAGGCTTAAAAAAAAAGGGTGGAAATACTCTATATCCATCAGTTGAGTTTTAAGAGCTGGGGATGCTCCAGACAGCTGAAGAATCATGGGATCAGTGTTTAAAAAACAGCAAGTGGGATGATTTCACTAATTATCATACTATTAATCTCATGCTGAGGGCAGGTAAAACAGCTAAGGGGCCACTAATTTAGGAATTTTTAAAAAAAAATCTAAATAATGGAAATGTGATTAATATCAATGAACAAGGTTTCTCAGAAAATAGGTTTTCTCAGGGTATGGGAGGGGCATTGATCATTTTATGAGCAGGTACACCAGGTTGGTCATGAAAGCAAGATATTTCCATTTTTTTGCAAAGTTTTTTACCATGGGACAGCCTGCTTAAAAAAAAAAAAGGATATGCAATTACAAGGATGTCAATCAACACTGAGAAAACAATGGCCAGAGCTGTCAAAATGTCATCGCGGGAGAATCGCGGTTGGATTTCCCTGGTGTATCCAAAAAAGGGTGGCCCTTGGCTTGGTGTTATTTTTACTTTCTAAGATGAAAAGTGCAAGAATTTCTGGAAATGCAAAAATGCCTGGAGGTGAGCAAGAACCTGACAGGTGCATGATGGGAAAATCGGGCAAGCGGAGGCATTTCTACTGTTGCTGAAGTCTTCTTGTGTCACCAAGTCTGGAGATGACTCCTGGTGTTGGCCAAGTTTAGATGAAAAGTTAGTGTTTTTTCCTGTGTGGTGAGCCTTCCTTGAACCTTCATTACCTTGTAGACATTTTCCTACCCTATTTTCTCCACCGCTTTCTCATTTTGTGCTCTACTTTGTTTTGCGGAGGAGTTTTAGCCTCTTTGGCCTGCAAATCCACCAAGCAATCTTCCATTTTTCTTGGTTGTTTTCCACTTGGCTTCATTCCTTTCCCTTGAGTCCTCATCGGACCCTTTTTAACTCCCTCCCTTCCTTCAATGAATATTTTTCAAGTTTTTCAGACAAGGATAGGAGAGGGGAGGTGCTTGTTACATGGGGAGGGGGGGGAAGCCAACACTTAAAGTAAATCAGTTCACCTTGCCTTTGACATCGAAGTGGTCCTCACTGCTCTCCAGTTGACTTCACTTGCAGGAAAAAAACCCACCACAAAGCCAATCGTATTGGGAACCACAGCACTGCCAGGGACATTTAAAATGGATTAAATCAAATTCATCCATCCACGAAGGAGCTCTACGAATCTTCTTACACGAGTTTGAGTTTGGCCAACTCTTTCTCAGCAAACTCGTAGGTTTCTTTTTTCTCCAACTAAGCCCAATTTTTCCCATCTTTACTCAAGCACAAATAAATTTCACAAAGTTAGGATAAGACAGAAATTTTTACGCATGTGTGCCACCCAAAAATAAATTGCTTGTACCATGAAGCGCAAGGGGAAGGACATCAGCCCAAGTAGCGCTGAATTTTGACACTTATTCACACTTGGGCACTTGGCCTTTGACACTTGCCTTATTGCGAGATAAGGTTTTTTTTGTGTGATGCAATATGTACCAGGTCTTTTTCTTCATTAAAGTGACTTTTAATTCGGAGAAATCGTGTTTTGCCATAGAGCAGCGGAAGGTCAGTGCCAAGATGTGGATCTGCAGAGACACCTAGTGATACATTTTTTACACTCAAGTTTCAAAATTGCCGGAAACATTTCAACTTACTTTGAGTCCTAAAATATAAAACAGCTTTGCAGCAAAATCACAAGCGTAATATAATTTGGCTGGCATTTGCGAACCAAGGCAATTAGTATGCAAAAATGTATTTTTTAAATCTTCTTGGAGATATCTGTATTTATTTTAAGGCAGAGCCTCCACTTTCATTGGGTACCCTGGTTTCACAGGGATGTTGCAGAACCATGAATTTCTTTTGTATCTTTTTCTAATAATTACCAATATTCTGCCTTTTTGGACACCACTGAGCTGGTGTTTTGGGACAGTTTTCCTCTACGCCACCAAAAAAATGCAATTTTTTTCATCATAAAATGCTATTGAAAATGGCTTTGACCACTATATCTGGAAATGGCAGTTTCTTGTTCCCATTTTCCGATATCCCAAATTATTTCTTCCCAGTGCACTTCCAAAAATGGTCTTCTGGATGCCCTTCTTTTGAGGAATCACGGAAAAACAAGGCAGGAGAGGAAAGCTGCAGGTCTTCAGGCTGGTCCAAATCTCTGGTCGCCCCTGGCCATACCTGACTGCTTTCTGAGGTTCTCCAAGAACCACATTTGGTTTTATACGAATATTTCCACTGTGTTTGTTAGCCAGACGCTTAGCAAAAGCCAAGTCCAAGTGCATGCAAAAGCAACCGATTTTTGCTTTCTGTATGCTGGGAAATCCTCATTTTTCAAATTGAAACCCATTTCCCCCAAAAGGCTGGAGATGGGGAAGGGATATTAAAAAAGAGTACAAGTATTTTATGGTCATATTTGCATTTTTTTATTAATTTAGCTATGAAAAGGGAGGCGAAGCAAAAATTCACAGCAATTGCAGCAAAATATCCAGATAAATAATATTCAGATCATCAATGGAGAGGACAAAAATAACATGTGGCAGAGGCGTCGGTTGCAACATTTTGGGCTTGGCATCATGGGAGAGGAAAATGCAGCAAGGGATTTTAATAGCAAAAGCATGCAGGGAAATCAGAGTTTATTCACAACCATCGCACAGGCAAATCAGTGGTGACTGATGGGGGAAAAAGCTGATAGAAGCATGAAGGTAATGGGGAAAATAAAAAAGAAAAGGAACAAAAATGACATTTTTTCCCCTCAGCAATGGGAAATGCATTGACATGGACACAAGGGTACCCTAATTCCCCGCTGAACGATGGGCTCGCATCATCTCTTGATGTAAAATTAATTGATTTGTGTGTTCAAATTACCATATCTATAGTTTTATTGGAAGGAAAAGAGGAGCTATGGCTTTTTGCGACCCGACCGTGTTTGCGTGGTCACCTTTTCCAGTGTTGTTGCATGTCGCTAGTCCAGAGAAATCCCCTTTTCTTAAGCCAAGATACAGGTTTCTTGAAGAAATGCATCAAAATTAAGGGAAATTGAATAAAAAGGTGAAAAAAAAAATCCCCTTTGTTGGCATTTTGTTCAACAGTTGAGAACCAGCCGGACACCAGGAAAGTGATGCAGAATGGGAAAATGGGTAGGAAAAGGGGAAAAAATATTTTTATTGCGAGAAATGAGTGCAGTTTTATTTCCATTACAGCTGGGCGAATCAGAGATATATAGTCATCTTGGGCTTATTTTGAAATGGTGATTTTCTAAAATATTATGGGCATAACGCACAAAAATCCTGCCCATCTGGGAGGTCGTGGTACATCGCCCTGTGTTCCCCTGTATCCTCAGTCGCAGCACCCTTCCCTTCCCAAAATATTGCATTAAATACGCAAATAATCATTCAATTTGGGCTTTTTCCAATTGCTTCTCACATGCAAGAGCTGCTCTCCAGAGATAGGGTTGATAATAAGATTACAGCTTGTGGCTAAAAAAATGCCCATTTTTGCAAGAAGTTAGTTTAAAGCTGCAAGGAATGATATCAAATTGGGTTATATTATTATTAATTTCATTATTTTACTATTATTCTGACAAGGCGAACCCGTGGTGCTAAACCCGTGGTTTTAGCAAATGCTGCATCATCCAGTTCCAGTCAAAGCACCAAGAAAACAGAAATTTATGGAAAGAAGAAGAAGATTGAAGAAATTCCTACTTCTCTATCATGGGTTTTTTTTTTTTTCCCCCTCCTTTTTCCGTATGGGAAATAGTGGCTGCACAAAGAGGACGAGTTTGGGGAAGATGCTAAGTGGGAGCTTTGCAAAGCGTAAATCCTTATTTTTCCATCTTTTTTTGCAATTGCAACAAACTGAAAAATCCCTTTTTCTGCAGTTTTGCCTCTTGAACCACCTAGAGAAAAAAAAAAAAAAGGCAATGGGGCATATTTATTGGAGGGGGGAAATTAAAACCTTGCATGCTCCCGCCGCATGTTAAAATTCATGTTTTTAATATTTCTTTCCGCAGGAGATGCTGCAGAGCTCACCTGTGGCGCTGCCGCCCGCCTCCAACCCGCCGCCGGGCATCGTGGTGCCGGCGGCCGCACTACCGCCAGGCAACTTGGCCATGAGCGCTGGCAGTGGCTCACCCGCTGTGCCAGGTAGGGGCCATGGGGGAGGCTGGCGGGGTGGGAGGAGAAATTTGGGGGTTTGGTACCCCCACGAGCCTTTTTTTTCCATAGGTGGAGCCTTGTACCAGCCCGTGACGATGGTGACGTCGCAGGGCCAGGTCCTTGCCCAAGCCATCGCCCCCGGTGCCCTGCAGATCCCCAACACCCAGGTAAGACCTTCCCACCTCAAATTTCCATTTTACGCAATATTTTGCACTGCTGCAGCGAGCAAAAACTCCAATTTTTCCATAAATTCAACCCTTGGAGTATTCTAAATTTTTAATTAGCAAGAAACCTTGGTTAAATCCATCTGCCGGGTGCCTTTGAGGTACCTAACAAATTATAGCAACAGCCTAACAAATTATAGAAATGCTTATATTATTGCTATATTATATTATAATAAATAATATATAATAATATTAATTATGTTATGGTGTGTTATAGTATAGTATAGGATCATATCATATCGTATTGTATAGGATATGATATATGCTATTGCTATTATATTATGGATCTGGGATCACCGGCATTGCCTGTCCAGTACGGCAATCACAGCACTCATGGGAATGACTCATTTTTTTCCTTGCTTTAAGGATTTTGGGGTATTTTTTAGCCATTTGCTCCGGTTTTGCTCCTTTTGTGTAATTGCAGTTAACTATGTGGTGTTTCCCCGCGTGGCTGCATCCTTGCAGTAAGTTGACAATTTGGGGTAGAAATGGATTTATAAGGACGACTTGCTATCCCCGTTGGCTGTGTTGCCTGTGATCTCTTCCAAACCTCCATTCCCCAGGAATTTGGGCAAAAACCCATTGATTTCTGCTACGCTGCTTCCCGGGGGCAGATCAGCAAAAATCCCCCCATGCAAAATTTTTTTCTGAAACGCCCCAATTTAATTGCAGGAGCCTCTTAAAGAAAAAAATGAATGGCATTTTGGAAATGGGTGGCACCTCCCTGGCAGGTTTTATTGCCTGTGCAATGCTTCTTTTTTTTCCTTCTTTCTTTAATACCTCTCCATCGCGGGCTTGAATCTTGCAGCAAAACCCTCTGTGGTGCGAAAAACACGCGCGCAGGGAATATCGGGGCAGGGAGAGAGCCCCAGACAAGCACCTCCGGATGCTCTTCTCGCGCCGCCAGCATGATTTATTCTGCCGGCGCCCAGGGGAATCGCAGGGACCTGCTGGCCTGATGTTTAATTCATCCAGGAGAAATGTTTTGATGAAGAGCTGGGGGGAAAAAAAAAAAATTCCCTTTTTAACTCAAGCGCTGAGATTTCAGTTCAGTTCCCGCAACCTCATTAAAACTTCTCTTGCAGCAAGATTTTTTTTTTTTTTTTTGGAGGGGGGGAAAAAAGCACAAGTTTTCACTCAAGGGGCACGTTTCTCCTCATGGTGGGCATCAGCTGGGTGAGGAACGCAGGTTTTCAAGGGGTTTAATGAGTGGCAGGGTTTTAACCTCGGGTTTAGAAAGTAACTTTTTGGGGTTTTTTGTTTGTTTGTTTGTTTGTTTTTTTAAGGTAAAAGTGTTTTCCCCCTTAATTGCACATCGAAAAAGGTCGTAGCATCGGCACCACAGTCCCCAGCTGTGCCGGTGCCACCACAGGGAGAAAAAGCCCATTGCCCTTTGCAAAGCATTGGCAAAAAAACAGAGATATTAAATAGAGGTCCTGGGGGAAAATGAGGATTTAATGCAAATTTTTTTTTGAAAAAATGGATTTTGGATGCTCCCTATGAGTTCATGTTTTTTTGCACTCGCCCCACTCCCATTTTGTGTTGGTTTTGCTCATTTTTTGTGTTGGTTTTGCTCAGTTTTCGGGTTGCCCATCGCCGTTTTCAGCCAATTCTCTCCCTGTTCTTCTCCCCCGGCAGGTGAACCTGGATCTCACCTCCCTCCTCGACGGTGAGGACAAGAAGTCCAAGAACAAGCGAGGCGTCCTGCCCAAACATGCCACCAACATCATGCGCTCATGGCTCTTCCAGCATCTCATGGTGAGCACCGCAGCCACCAAAACACCCTGCAAAGCTGGAAAAAAAAGGCAAAAACCCCCAAAACCCTACAAATCGAGGTGGTGGTTTGTCTGAATTTATATTCAGAGGCACAAAGTAGCTTTGGTTCTATTTTGGGAGTATTTTGGGGATGACCGTTTTCACTGCAGGTGGTAAAAATACTCCCTTAATGCATGAAGAAGCAAAGAAAACCGGAGGGGGACTTCCACAAATTATAGCGGATGGGTGATGGAGCATTTTTTTCCAGTTAACAGCTCCAAAATACCGTTTTCCAGCAAGCCAGGGTGTGAAAGCTGCCCCACAGGTATGGTTGTGGCACATCAGCAATCAGTCGAAATGCAGAATTGCAAAATTGCCCCATTTTGGGGGATGGAGATGTAGGTAGACGGAAGGAGCTCAGAGGATGCAACCAGGATATTTTCGTGCAAGGAGATTGCTCTCCCGTCAGCAGAGCTGGAAGAAGGGCAGAAAGGTAAAAAAAGCCCCTTTTCCCTGCATAATTCCGCCAAGAAATCACTCAGAAGCTGGTGGCAAAGAGTTGCATGAGGGTCTCCAGGAAGGTGGGAGACGCCCAAGGTAGCAGCAAGATGGAAAATAACACCTCCAAGGAGCAACCTGGGGCAAAACATGACCCAGGACATGGAGCAGCAGCTGGCTGGGAACTTTCCAGCCTTTTTTAAATGGGAAATTTTTGGACTTATTGCATTGAGGACAAGAACATCGCTGTGTTGGGCCACCATCCCAAGCTGCGTCATGCATCTCCCATGCTTTTGGAGGGCTGGACTGCAGATTTGTAAGCAGAAAAAGGATTTAGAAGACAGTTTTCTGCCAGGTGCTAGGAGAGCCCCATGGTTTGAAACTTCCAAGACTGCATTGAAAAACTGAAAGAAATTGTGCTTCTACTGGACGGTTGGACCTTTGCTCTCAGCCTGGTGCTCATGGTCAGAAGATGCTTGGGAATCCCCATGAGATTTCTCCATCTGGCAGCATAAATGATGTGGTTTTTAACCTAATAGCATCGATACTCATTGTTTTATTGGGTTTGGGAGTTTTGTAACACCAGCAGGAGGAAGGAATCCTGGAAATAATGTGCCAAAAATGGAGATACTTTTGCCAAAAAAGGGCCATTTTTAACCCCTTTGGCATCCCTGAGGCCCCGGTGGGATGGGGGTCTCCGGCATGCCATGACTTCGGGTGGTTTTGTCAAGGAAATCACACTGTTTTGGGGGCAAACAGCTGGAAAACAAGTCATGTGAATCAACACTGGCGCTGGCTTGGGGCTCCGAAAAATGACACATGGGGCTGGTTTGATAATAATTTCATTTTTGGGGTTGGAAAGGAGGATTTTAGCACAGTTGGGAGGGAGTTGTTGAAGCTTTGAGTGCTGGTAGCCTATGGCAGATGTTTCAGGGTGGTTTATTGATGCACCTGACAAGGAGCGTTATGGGTGACAGTGGGCTTTGAAGCCCAAATCCCACCTTTACCAACAACCGTTATTAGAAAATCGCTAATACTAAAAAAAAGTCTTTTCCTTCAAGGAAAAGTCTTGGATGGAAAGCCTTGGAAAAGCCCTAAGGACACCGAAGAAACCACGATGCTCTTGGATGCCACCCTTAAGCCCTACATCTTGCAAATGCAAGAAGCCACCAAATTTGGGGTGGGAAAATGAAAAAAAATGGGGGGGGAGGGGTGGTGTTCATTTTTTTTTTTCACTCGGGGCTGCCGTTTTGCACACAGGGATGTCATTTTGCTGCCCCACTTCTTTTTTTTTCCAGCACCCCTACCCCACAGAGGACGAGAAGAGGCAAATCGCTGCCCAAACCAACCTCACCCTCTTGCAAGTCAACAACTGGTGAGCTCATCGGTGGCCCATGCAGTCACCTTGCTGGCTTTAGAAATTTTTTCACGCTATTTTCGTGCTATATAATGCTTTTTCGGGGGGTAACTTGGGCGGTTAGGGATGATTTCTGGGAGACGGGCTTGGGTGTGTTTGCACGATGGCGTTCGTTTGTGATGTCTCAGTGCCCTCTCCTGGCAGACCCACTACATAGCAGCCTCCAACGCGGCTGGAAAAATTAATGCAATGGTGTGACATGCCACAGACAAATAAAACAGGGTAAAACCCCAGCTTTTTGGACCATGCAGCCACTTTCGAAAGGGTTTTACATTGCAACTCATTAAATTGTTATAACGTTCATTGTTCTAACTCAAAACTGATGTAATGACTCTTACTTACTCGAATGGTCTCTGTTTTCCCTGGAAAGGTTCATAAATGCCCGGCGGCGCATCCTACAGCCGATGCTCGACGCCAGCAACCCGGACCCAGCCCCCAAAGCCAAGAAAATCAAGTCTCAGCACCGGCCCACCCAGCGGTTCTGGCCCAACTCCATCGCCGCTGGGGTTCTGCAGCAGCAGGGTGGCAATTCGGGGACAAATCCTGATGGTAAGGACAATCCTGATGGCTTCTGCCCTTCCCGGATGGAGTGGCCATGCATTAAATTATGGCCTTAATAATTAGGATAATTAAGGATTTCTAGAGCCCTTTATCACCCTGTGGGGAAAAACATGTTGAAGAAGTGGCTCATGCAAGAAGATCCTTCCAGTTGGCCATCACAAAGGCGCTGGCAATGGGGCAGTGCCATCTCCTCAGCACAGGAACAGCCCTCAAGGATAACTCGCTCTGGGGCAACACTTGGGATATCTCCTGAGGTGCTGGGGAGGGGATAAAGGGGGAGTTGGGGAGAGGAGAGGAGACAAAACGAAGAAAGTTGAGAAGATGAAGATGAGATGAGAAGACAGATGAGACAAGATGGGAAGCGAGAAGATGAAGAGAGAACAGATGATGAAAATGAAGAGGAGTAGAGAAGATGAAGAGAAGGTGAAGAGAGCAGAGATGAGCATGGAGCAGGCAAGAGGGGAAGAGAGAAGATGAAGAGAAGGGAAGGTGGAAATTAAGAGAGCATGAAGAGAAGATCTGCCTAACCGATTTGGGCATCTACTTGCTCAAAAATGAAGGTTTCTTGTTATTTAATGAAGATACATTAGCTAAAAAAATTAAGGGTTGGCCTTCGGGGGGTGGCTGGGGCAGGTGGGACACCCTACAGGGTGCTCTGTCTAGGTACAGCTTTTCACTTGGGTTATTCTCGGTTTATGCACTTTTTTGTCCTTTTTATATTAGCTGGGAAGTCCTTATTTCTATGTATTTTTTTTTTTTAATTTCAGGCTCGCTCAGCATGGACAACCTGCAACCCCTCTCGTCAGCCACGGCCACCATGGCCATGCAGCAGGCCATGCTGGCGGCCCACGACGACTCCCTCGACGGCACCGAGGAGGAGGAGGAGGACGAGGAGGATGAGGACGAGATGGAGGAGGAGGAAGAAGAGGAGGAAGAGCTGGAGGAAGAGCCTGGTGGCCTCCCAGCGGCGCCCAGCGCCGACCTCGGCTTGGACCACAGTGACTCGCTGGAATAGCTCCTCCTGCGCCCTCCCCAAATCATTGACGGCACCGGAAACAAAACTCCCGCAAAAATGCCAAAAAAACCCGGCAAGAACAAAAACAAAATTGGTGAGAAAAAAGCAAATTGGAGGCGCTGGCAGATGCCCTGGCTGCCTACGGGAGCACGGGGACCACCATGTCGGCGTGTGGAAGTGAAGGACACATGTTTACAAGGCACATATTGTGGCCAGATTAATTTTTTTTTTCAGGTTTTATTTTTATTTTCCCCTTCCCTTCGTTTTTGGTAAAAAAAAGCGTTTTTAGGGGAAGCTGTTTTTCCCCACGCGATGCTTGGATGCTGTTGGGCGACACCAGGTTTTCACCGTGGGCCACTGCGTCCATCACTTGGATTTCTTGGTGCAAAAAACCCCCATCCCCACCCCAAGACTGATGCTTTTTGGGTTCTTCCCCCAAAAAGATGATTCACAGGCATAAATATTGGCACGCGGAGAAAAAAAAAAAAAATCGGCGAGTGCAAATTCTGCTTCAGGTCGGATCTGAGGAGGGTTTGGCACTCTTGACCCACCGGATTGCCCAAACCTCCCTGTTTTGGCCCCAATCCTGTGGCCGTTTGGTGACTCCGGATGCAACTTTCTGGAAAAGGGAGGAAATTCCCCCAAATCCTTTAATTTATGCGCTAAAAACCCATCAAATCTGGAAAAAAAACCCATCCCATCCTCGTCCTTAAGGGCTGAGACTGGACGCAGAGTTGGGGCAAAGGCTGCCGGGAGCAACTTTCCCAGGGTGTTTTGGCACCGAGTCAGGAAAAAATGGGGGGGAAAAAGGGTTTAAAAAGTACAGATTTTCACCCAAAATTGAATGGTGACCCCCAAGATTTGCCCGGGTGGAAGGAAATTCAATATTGTTGCTGGAAAGATGGTTTCTCCTTGATATTGTCCACCCGCATGGGAAAATGGTGGTTTTACCCCAGACGAGCCATGGGGGAGGGCGGCTCTGCAAAAAACCAACGTATTTTGGGTTTTTTTTTTTAAATGCTAGCAAAAGGGCAAATTTCTCCTTAAAATGTGGTGTGGGGGAAATGCAAAAGCAAACCCGGGTGATGCGGGGCAAAAATAATAAAGGAATTTTCTTCTGCAGGTTCCTCCTGTAAATGCAGGTTTCTGTAAGAAGGATCTTTTTTTTTTTTTTTTGCGGCTTTTTGCCGGTTTTGTCATTTTTTTTGGCTCTTGAAGAGTTGAGAAAAAAAAACAAAACGAGCAGCCGGGGGGGAAAAAAAAAACCGAGCGATGCAATGGGCAGAAAAGCCTATTTTTCGATACTGATCTGGCGTGAATGTAATCTGTAATTTCATAAAGAATTCATTGTAATTTAGTATTAATTCATGGCCATTTATTATAAAGTGCTACGAGATGAGGTTTCGCAGCTGTATTTTATTGGCAGCTTCTTCCTGCGAGCGGAGAAGCCCCCAAAATGGGTGAATAGCCCCCCAAAATGGGCAAAACTCCCCTCAAATAGGCAAATGAGTCCCAAAATGGGTGAATTGACCCAAATCCGCAATTGAGTGATGCGGCGCTAAATAGGATTTATACTTCCAAAAGTGATGCTCCCCCCAAAATAAGTGATGCCCCCCCAAATGAGCTCCAATGTGATTTTACCCCAAAATGTTGTTCTCCCAAAATGAGTGATACACCCCCAAAATGTTACACACCCCCCCTAAAATGAGTCATGCTCACCCCGAAATGAGTTATGTTCTCCAAAAATGAGTGATGTTCCCCAAAAAGGAATGATGGTACCCAAACAGGGCAACCCCCCCCCCCAAATGAGTGATTTTCCCTCAAAATAAGTGATGCTCCCCCAAAATGTTACACCCCTCCTAAAATAAGTGATGCTCACCCCAAAATGAGTTATATTCTCCAAAAATGAGGGATGTTCCCTAAAAACGAATTATGTTACCCAAGAGGGGTGATCCCCCCCCCCATATTAGTGATTCTCCCCCAAAATGAGTGATGCTCACCCCAAAATGAGTTATGTTCTCCAAAAATGAGTGATGCTCCCCAAAAAGGAGTGACCCACCCCAAAATGGGTGATGCTGCCCCAAAACGTTATGCTCCCCGAAAATGAGAGACGCTCGAGATGCTCCCCGAAATTGAAGTTTTCCCCCAAAAAAGTGGCATTTCCCCAAATAATGATATTCCTCAAAATGAGGGATGCCCTCCAAATATGAGCAATGGTCCCCAAAATTAGTGTCTCTCCTCCAAAATGAGTAATTTTTTGGAGCAGTGCCCCCAAAATGACTGATCTGCTCAAAACCATGATGCTCCCCAAAACGCTTCCCTCAAATGAGCAATTCTCCCCCCAAATGAGCAATACTCCCCAAAATGAGTGAAGTTCCCCCAAAATGATGCTCTCCCAAACCAGCGATCCTCCCAAAAATGAATGTCTCTCCCCAAAAGCAAGTGATGCTCCCAAAAATGAGTAAATCTCCCCAAAATAAGCGACTTCCCCCAAAATGACTGACTTTGCCCCCAAAATGGAGGGCACTCCCCAAAAATGAGCAATGACCCCTAAATTAGGGACTGTCCCCCCAAATGAGTGACAAACCCCAAAACTAAGCAATTCTCCCCAAAATGGAAGCCCCGCCCTCCTCCCCTAATGACCCGTTGCTAATGAATGGGTTGATTTTCTGGGGAAGAAAAGGTGAATTTTGCACAAATTTTAGCAGAAAATGGGGCTGCGGAAAAGCGAAAAATGGGAAAAATCCCCTCAAAATGGAATTCACAGCTGAATTTTGCTGCTGCAATCGTGGCGGCTGCCTGCGGCGCTGCAGCCGGCTGAGCACCCAGCAGCTCATTAGCCAGGAATCTGCATATTTTATAAAGTACTGAATATTCATGAGCAGCACAGCAGAATTTCCTTGGCGGTATTTTCTGCCAAAAAAGTGCATTTTTCTATCGAAAAGTTGCAAAACAACGTCACAAGCGGGGGATGAAGACTCCGGAGGCTGGTTGCTTAATTAATGAAACGAATTATTTATTTCCCAGCTGTGCAAAGGTGGGGGGAGTGCGCGGGGGGTGGGGGGCCACGGGCGACCCATTTTCCTCGGGTTTGACCCCGTTTTCGGGGGGCGCCGGGGTGGGGGGGACGCGAGGGCAGCGCCGCATCAGGTTGGGCAGAGCACTGCAAAGAGAGAGGTCATGGGTGTGCACCGGCGCACACGAGGGTGCACCAGGGATGTGTGGGGTTGCACGTGGGAGCACGATGATGCACGAGCATGCACGGGGACGCATGAGGATGCACGAGGATGCACGAATGCGCAGGGATGCACAAGGGTGCATGGGGATGCACGAGGATGCACAATGGTGCATGAGTGTGCACGGAGATGCATGAGGATGCACGATGATGCATGAATGCAATGGGGATGCACGAGGATGCACGAGTGTGCACAGGGATGCATGAGGATGCACGATGATGCATGAATGCAATGGGGATGCACGAGGATGCACGAGTGTGCACAGGGATGCATGAGGATGCACGATGATGCATGAATGCAATGGGGATGCACGAGGATGCACGAGTGTGCACAGGGATGCATGAGGATGCACGATGATGCATGAGTGTGCACGCGGATGCACGAGGATGCATGAGCACGCACAATGCACAGGCTTGCACTGGGATGCACAAGAGTGCACAAGCATGCACTGGGATACACAAGGGTGTGCAAGGGTGCACAATGATGCATAAGCCTGCATGGGGGTTGCATGAGGATACATGAGTGTGCATGGGGATGCATGGGGGTGCACAAGGGTGCATAAGCGTGCACACGTAAGCATGCAGAAAGGATGCATGGGCATGTATGAGGGCATGTGGGCACACAAGGATGCACAAGCATGCATGAGTGCTGCATGAGGCTGCCCAGTGGCTGCAAATGGGATGCACAGAGGATGCAGGAGGAACATGAAAGGGATGCACGAGGAATGCACAAGATTGGTGCAGGAAGGGTGCATGAGGGACGCGCGAGGATGCAGGAGGCTGCACAAGAGCTGTGTGGGAGATGCACAGGAATGCACAAGGATGCTCGGGTGATGCATGAGGGGTGCCCAGGAGATGCATGGAGGATGAATGGGGATGCATGAGGGATGCACGATGGTGCACGAGGGGTGAAAGGGGGTGCACAGGGGTTCATGAGGCTGCATGAAGGAAGCAGACGGGCCACGTAACGTTGCAAGGCAAGTGCAGGCAGAGTGATCTACGAAGGTGTGTGAGGATGCATGAGACCTGCACAAAGGATGCATGAGGGATGCACCGGAGATGCATAAGGCATGCATGGAGTTGCATGAGGGATGGGCAAGGGATGCACAAAGGATACAAGGGAGATGCACAAGGATGCAGAAAGGATGCACGGGAGATGCATGAAGGATGCATGAGGGATGCACAGGAGATGTACCTGGGATTCACACAGGATGCACGAAGGATGCACTGGAGATGCATAAGGGATGCATGGAGATGCATGAAGGATGCACAAAAGATGCCAGGGAGATGCACAAGGATGCTGACAGGATGCATGAGGATGCAGAAGGGGATCCATGGTGGATGCACAGAGGCACAAGGGCTGCACAGGGGCTGCATGAAGGATGCACGAGGGGTGCACGGGGGATGCACGAGGTGAGCAGATACCTTTGAGGATGTAGTCTGTGAGCAGTGTGGGCACCTTCTCGTTCCCCTCCTTCATGGCAAACAGGACTGCAAGGGAGAACGGAGCCATGAGCCCAGGCCCACAGCCCCCCAGGTGTCCCTTTTCCACCCAAAACCAGCCCCACAGTCGCCACAGAGACACTGCCAGAGTTTCCCACAATGCACCAGGCCTAAGAGCATCCAAAACAAGCACTTTCACCCCCAACCAGCCAGTCTGTGGCAATGCAGAACAAGTGTTTTACCCCCAGATCGGCACTGGTGTATGGTGCAAAAATGGGGGGGGGGGGGCTTTGCTGCGAATCAGCTGTGCTGCGGTGATGCAAAATGGGTGATCGCCCAAATCAGGGCACTGGGGTATGGGGCAAAAATGGGGGGGGGGGGCTTTGCTGCGAATCAGCTGTGCTGCGGTGATGCAAAATGGGTGATCGCACCCCAAATCAGCTGTGCTGCAAAATGGGTCTTCCCCCCCACCCCCAAATGGGCTTTGTTGCAATGATGCAACGTGAGCGACTGCACCTCAAATTGCCCATGCTGCGATGATGCAGAAAAAAAGGGGACTGCACCCCAAGCTGGCTGCACTGCAATGATGCACCCAAATCGCAGCTGCTGCAGCAATGCAAAATGTGCATTTACGTCCCAAATACGCCACACCGCAGTGATGCAAAACAGCTGATTCTGCCCCAGAACGGCAGCTTGAATGAATACTCCCCGTTGGGGGGCATCCGCAGGTCCTCAACGGAGGGTGGCGACCCCTTTTTCTCGTAGGGAATCACCGTGTTCAGGTACTGCAAAAAAAAACACCCCACCACCCCAAAAACCACCCAGATGGGACAAAACTGCCTATTTTTTGCACCACCTTGAGACAAATCACCCCAAATTGGTGCAAAAAGAGAGTATGTCTGCGATTTTCCTGCGATTGCATTTAATTTGCAGGTACTTTGGGGCTACCGAATTAATTGCATGCTGCAAAACCCACCCAAACATGAACCCCTGCTTAGGGAGGCTTTTTTGGGGCGAAAAATGGTGATTTTTGCAAGATGGATTAGCGGGGTGTAGGGGACGGAGTCGGGTTGTAAAATTAAAAAATATTTTAAAGGGGGGTTGGGGGGTGCAGGGG